ACCGAAACAATCACCGTATGTACAATGAGGAAGTTCGGGTAGGCAGGGCGGTACGTGACTGGGAACAGTTTACAGGAGCAGGAATATAGATGACAGCAGTGTTGACGGCATGAGCCTATGGCAGTGAGATCGCTTGCAGCCGTTCGGCCGTTAGGCGTTGAGAGGTCACTGCTGTCCTTGGAAGACAACATTGTCCCTGAAGGATCCTGGCGGGGCTGCCGTCGATTGTCATGTCCCCCCTGCTGGCCGTTAGCCATGACTGGCAGGGAGGAACCGTCTACAGCAAATAGCAGTTTGCTCTGCACGGATTCCACGGATTCGTTGATGGGTTCCATTCAGCGATGAACACACGGGTGGTCAGTCAGACGAATGGATCAGTGGATGCCGGCGGACAATACCGCCAATGCTATCCAACGGCAAGTGGTGTAGCTTGGAAATGACATTGCCGCACTAATCAAGATGACGACGTTCCGCTTTTTGTCAAAAGACCCTCCATACCGAGTCGTCGACCATTGTGATCAGTGTGTGCTCAATAAATCTCCGCCCTTCTGCACAAGAGTCACAATCATCAGTACACTACCTCTATCTAAAACGCTTTTCCCGCTCTCGCTAACTTTCAACGTTGTCCATCTGCCCGCCGCACGACATCCGATTGGCTGGCAGGCCGTGCGAACGGACTGCCAGCGCCACCTAATGAGTTCCGTCGACGTTCGTTGCCGGATAAGCTACCTTGCTTTATAACAATAGTAATAACACTTGTCAACGAGTTGGCCAACTCGCGTTGTATGGTCCACCGAAAAATGAGCGTCCAACCGTTACAGCGGAATTTGCAGCTCCTTCGTCAAAGAGATCACGTCCGCAAGTGTGAAACTCAGAGACAGGCGGTGGCACGTTCTCCTCGCTGACCTACCTCATAAATGCAAATCGCCAGTTGACAGAAGAAATATGTTCGAGGGAAAAATTTATTAGCTGCCAAATGGGCCAGGGACTGCAAACAGCTGCGT